AGCTGTGGTGCATGTTTTCTTACCAATAGAGAAGTATATTTGATAAAATTCACCTTTTTTCTTATGTTCATCAGATTAGTATGGCGAACCAGTGCAGATACGTTTCTTTGCAAACATAGGATAAGGAGCAGGCAGGATTTTTGAAAAGAGATGACTTGGTTTTAAATCATGCCAAAGCTAAGTATTCAAGCATGCTTGAACTAAATTTAGTTTTTGTGGAATGGAAGTTATTGCGACATTTAGCACAGGTGGAATTCAAAAGTTGTGAGAGTACAACTATGAACTTTTAGAAGCTAGATCCTCATTTTTTGAGATCATTTTATCCCGCGTTATTATGTTAAACAACGCTCGTTGTTAGGAAAAAGTTTCCAGAATTTAATTAATTTAACATCAAGTCGGAGCTGCTTCAGAGCAATATTTATGTTTTCGAGAGTATCCTTGTTGGAAACAGTCTGTTTTGTCTTTTGATGTATCTCTAGTGTACAAATTCCGCGTTATTCTGTTGCCCTCGTTAGTTTGTTCAATTAATCAGGAAACACCTTCATGCTATTTAATTCAGGGTAACAATGTCGAAGGTATCGCGTGAAGCATTGAATGAAGCTGTTGCTGATGTCCTCAAGGGGGCTCAGGAGAAGAAGAGGAAGTTCCGAGAAACTGTGGAGCTTCAGATTGGTCTCAAGAATTACGATCCGCAAAAGGACAAGCGTTTCAGCGGCTCCGTCAGGTACTCCTACCTGTAGTTTACAGGGAGCCATTTCTAAAAATGGCGGACCCCCACCCAGGGTCTTAAATATTGGGAAGGCTATGCCGCCCTGTATAAGATATGCTTTCTGGCGTGGTAAGCAGCCCTTTTCTGTCCGTTGGTTTGAGTCAACGCCCAACGCTTTTGTTGCAATGAAACAAACAATCACAAATCATTAAATGCGTAAATGCATGTCTGCCAATGTTTGATAATACGCGCTTTACATATGATGTGGCACTCAACGTTTAGAAAGCATAATAAGGTAAAGTGAATGCGTTATCATATGTATCTTACTCAAACCTAGTATAACTAAATTTGAAATTCCTCGTCTTATCTTTTACATTTCTATTTTTTTGTAACTGCTAGAGTCAATTCATGAGTGTTAATTGCGTTTAATTACTAATAAGAAACAGTGTACTTTGACATTATACTTGATTGGCATCACCCTCTTGCTTCAGGCTGAAGAGCATTCCTCGACCTGCAATGAAAGTTTGTGTTTTTGGAGACCAGCACCATCTTGATGAAGCTAATGCCAACGGTATTCCTTGCATGAGTGCAGATGACTTGAAGAAACTCAACAAAAACAAGAAGTTAATCAAAAAATTGGCGAAGAGTTACGACGCCTTTCTCGCTTCCGAATCATTGATAAAGCAGATTCCTCGTAT